GCTGTTGAGTCTTGCCACACCAAGCCGCAGAACTCTGCAAGTTCAGCGCATCGGTCGAACCCTGCAGCTTTGAGCGCTCCCGGTTGTTTAGGAGATTCCGACCGAGCGTTCGCTTCTAGGCCCTAGGCCCTGCGAGATACTGGGGGCAGAAAGACCCAGAAGAGCAGCTAGTGGCTAAGGCTCAGGATTCAACCCAACAGGTGCAGAAGAACAGTTGAAGGCTTTTAAAGGGAGCTCTTCCAAGGGTGTTGTTATGGCGCCGCCTCCCCAACTCCGAGCTTTCCGTTTGGTTCAGGATGACAATGTAAGTGCCGCCATCAAACTAGATATCCCTGATGTACTGCAATTTACTATGCCTGCGGCAACTTTCGAGAGCACTGGACTTGATCCTCGGCCGACCTGCCTCCTTCATCTCTGCAGCTCGCTCTGACAAGGATGGGAGCAGCAGTTATGGGAGTCCGTGGCCCTTGCTGCCATGTCCTGCTTTTTTCTCAAAACGGTCCACGTGGCAAGGGGCCTCCGGATTCATCGACAGTTTCACGTAAGCCGCCGCCTGCAGAACAACCCAGGCCCGTATGCGACCTTCGCCTAAATCCTGTCAGGGCTTAAGTGCTCAGGCACTTCCCGCAGTCTTCTGCCACAAGAGCCTGGAACCCTAGCGGCCCTAGCTTTCTCCACAAGGCTGTTTCTGGGTTCTGGGGTCTCGAGTTTTATGTTCTTCCCAACACCTTCCTGTCGTGCTACCCAAGACGCCTGATCCTCTTTTTGACGGACACAGGACGTCCACAAAATATGTAAAATTCCGGAAAGAAGCTGGGACGACAGCAGGTACTCAGAGCAACTGTCCGAGCGCTTTGCTTATGACATTCTGAGCACTACTGTAACCTTCTTGCTAAAATCGGGGAGTCAGCAAGGCTTCTGCGTTCAAAGCAAGCTTGGCTCCAAATCCCTGCAGACCATCGATGTTTGTACATTTCGCCCTGCCCTCGAGACTCTGCCCATAGTGCTTTCTAACAGCCCCTGGACTGACGTCGCCCGTTGTTCTGCCTTGGTGGCTCTTGCACTTGAGGCAACTCCCAGAGCTCAAAAGCATCCGATCAAATGAAGATCCGCGGTTGCTCATGCCCTCAATTCCAGCACCCGGGGTGCGTTCCATTTCACAGAAACCTCGGCTTAATCTGCACCGACAACGATCACATTACCCAACCCAAAAGCAGGACATGCTAATGTTGTTGTACGTGAGCGGGCGAGCAGTACACCTAGTGATTTACAGAGCGGCCAGGTTAGAGGATCATCTTGCATAGTCTAGAGACAATGGCATGGTCGTCACAGAACACGCAAAATGAACCCTGGCAGTTCCCCGAGCAGTTTACTGCAGCTTTGACATGGAATACCGACGTTCGTGCTTCGTGTCGGCGGCCAATGCCGGGGTTTTCAACGCTTATCTCCCCTTGCGGTTTCTGGGTAGGGTAGTCTGAAGATGTAGCAGCCCTATCAAAATCTGGCGGAAGCACAACAACTGGAAAGGACGCGACTGTGACTAGCAAGGAGTGGCACAAGTCTGTGTGGAGGACAAGGAGATATCACAGAGCATGGTGGTAAGTTGACATCCATCACAAGAAGGACATGATGTTCGAAGCTTTCGTTCGCATGATACGATGGGAAGCACTACACAGTGGTCTGCTTTCACAGCAGCAGGCGCTTTTGATCGATGGGGAGTTGCCGAACGCACACTCGCTCGGTCGAAGATCGATCGAGCGCCTTGTGCGAGGATGTGCTGATGCCTTGTAGCTGGACCCGAAACCCGAAACCGTGAACACGATGAGCGAGAGAACGGAATGTGAAGTGAGTTTTATGTTGCCCTTTTCATGTAGCACAAGCGAAAGCAACAAAAAGGCTGCAGGAAATGAGCGACACGGCAGAATTCAGGACCTATTTAGTTACAAGAAATCGTGCGGCAGAATCGGCAGATCCGGTTCATCTTAGTGTCTCAATTGCAGCCTACCGATCCTTAAGGGAGATTGACGACGGCGCTCTGCCAAAACACTATATCTGGGCAATGATCCAAGAATTTTTATATGCTTCCTTCAAGGGATTCAATTACCTGTGTCGTCAAGCCACACTATTCTTCCTGTGTGACTTAAACTTCAAATTGTTCTACCGGACATTTTCTCTTTATTTCATCTAGTCACCCCTAGCTATAACATTTTTTCAATAAGCTAATCAATCAAAATAAAGGTAAGAGATTACACTGTATGAATATTGTGGGGGCTCTCTACTTTCGGCTTGATATTTGCTATAAGAGACTTAGATTAGCTTGATATGAAATCAGAATATTTATAATTTATTCGGGGTCTCCTTCTATCTCTGCTGCATCTCGCATCGCTGGGTTGAAGTACGCATCGATGAGCGTCCAAACTCGGGAAGCCGGATTGAAACGATCACCTCTACTCATGAACGATCTGATGGTTCTAGGTGGAATCCAACGTCTTGATGGGCAACGGCTGGTTTTGATGTGCTGTCATGCCACTGATGTGCGTCTCGACTGGGCGCTTATGGAATCGAACGTCTGGGTGGGGAATGATTGGATTGGAAGTGGTGTGCTGAGACTAATATTCGGCTCGAATGGATGCTTGCGGAATCGTGCGGAATGGCTGGCTGCCACTGATGTGCGTTTCGAGCGGCTTGTGGAATCGAGCGTCTAGATGGGGAGTGGGTGCTTTGAATCGAGCGTCTAGTTGCCACTGCTGGGCGTCTTGAACGGTTTATGATATCGAGCGTCGAGATGAAGAATGGTTGGTGGAACGACTTGTAGAATAGAATATTTATATAAGAAATCGAATTAATTTAGGGGCAGAATTATTTTGACATATTTCGATATTGATATTATCTATTCTATAAAACGCTACGGCCAAACTGGCTCTATGCGGTGCAGCACGCTTCGGGGCGCCTAGGCTTCAAAATTTTGGAGAAATTTGCAGACTACGGCGAGCGAGCCGGTTCGGCCTACCCAGGACCCAAAATTTCCGGAGAATTTAGAAGCTCGGGCTGCAGCTTTAAGAGGGCGGGGCCTCTTCGGTGGTCTCGGGCTAGCCCCAGTCTTCTAAATTTTTGGAAAATTTGGGGATCCGG